CTGATCACTTTATTCCTTTTCCTCTACTGTGGTTATTGATCTAAAATGTGCTATTTATTTTGCTGTATAATCGAATGAATTTTTTTTTAAAAAAAATGATGACGGAATCCATTTTCCACTCTCAATTGGGAAAGCAAGGTTTTCACGCTAGTTCATTAACAAACTAGGGAGAATCATTTTACTACATGATTTAAGAAACCTACCTCAAATCAAGAGACTTTTGAACCATGACCGCTGGCGTGAATACCTATTTGGATCTGGAAGAAGGCAGACAGAAGATGACTGGACAGGAATAAAAATAAAAATAATATTAATTGCACTATTATTAACCAGAAACCAATGCACGTACGGCAAAAGAGAATTGTGATAACAGAGCAGCCTTTTCAGCGATCTGACTTTTTATTTTTTAAGGAAAGTAATTTTTTCCTCCATTCTCCTCTGCAACGGACTTCTGGGTAGAAATCATAAGCGTGGGTGGCCTTACAAAAAACACCCCATCGTGGAGACAGGAAAAAACACAGACACACCAAAATTTCACAGCGGAATCCCATGCATGTGTACTCAGAAGTAAGCCCCACTGAAGTCAAGGGAGTTTATTTCTGTGCAGACATGTATAGGCTTGCACTTGGAGTAATGTAATCCTATATTTACCAGAGAGTAAGCCTCGTTGAACTTACTTCTGAGTAGACATGCATAGATTGCAGTGTAACTGGTGCGCTCAGTCCGGCTAATGAATGGCTCGTCTACTCTGGCATCCAGCGGGCAATCGGTAGCAGCCAATGAGAAGCCCGCAAGCATGTCCCGAGTTCTGCACCCACCCACCAGCTTGTGATTTCCAGCAACTTGTATACTGAGGCATAATGGTAATCCCATTCTGCAGAGCAGCTCTTAGGATGGGCAGGCGTGAGTGTGCGCATGCGCAAGTTCTTTTCTTTGGTTCTCGTCTTGTTCCCTGGATGACTACGGGCCGGTCCACACCTTAGCTTATTGTGCATTGTGAACCCATTGTACCTCCTTAAATTCCCCTTGGCCACGAGGCCTTCTCCAATTAGGCTGATTCAAGTCAAGGCTGAACTGTCCCTGCTTAGAATAAACTCACGCGAGGACAGGACAATTAGGGCAAGATCCGGCCAAGCAGAAGTATTTTTATCTGGGAGCAAGTCCCACACAACTCACTAGGGCTGTGGGTGATGATGGGACTGCATTGCATATTCAATCCTATTTCGGGTTTCAGGATTTTAATATGCTTGTCTTTGGCTGGATGATGTCCAATGCTTTCTTGGACAGTTGCTTGCGAGCAATATGAGCCGGGCACAGCGGGGATTTAAACAGAAAGGCTCTGAGATAGGAAGCTTTGAGGCCATTCACCTTCTTTTCAAAAATTAAGCCCTGAACGATTTTAAAGCGGCGTTTTTCGTGGGAGTGTTTGTCTCTTTATAGCAGGGGAAAGGAATCCGTGTCCCTAGAGCAGGGTTTCCCAAACTTGGGTCTCCAGCTCTTTTTGGACTACATCTCCCATCATCCCTGACTCATGGATGATGGGAGATGTAGTCCAAAAAGAGCTGGAGACCCAAGTTTGGGAAACTCTGCTCTTGAGGTTGCTGGACTCCAACTCCCACCAACCCCAGCCAGCTTGGGCTCAGGAATGATGGGCACTGTAGTCCCAGTACCCCTGGAGAGCCACAGGTTTCCCAGCTCTGCTTTAAAGAAGGCGGAATGGCGTCTTCCCATCGGGTTGTGATTTAAGAATTGCGGAGAGTTAATGGTTTGCTTGCTTGCGCGAAGAAAGAAAACCCGCCCCTCTGGAAAGGCGTTATTGCCACTCTATGGCGCATAGGACTAGCTCTCTTAACTTCAAACGTGCAAAGTAAAGCAAACATCCCAGCCAAACCGAAGGCTCCCCACTCAGTCATCATGAATATGAGATTTTAAACGAGCCCGTTCCCTCGGCTCTAATTAGCAACCACAGCAGGACATTTGCCAGCAGCTCGTCGCATCTTTTGATGCCAAAACGGACTTCCTTCCAAGCGTTATAGTTTGAGGCCGTCGCCTTCACGCCTTGCTCGTGATGCTGTCAAAAGGAGCTGTCTGTCCGCCGTCGGAAGCAGAGCACTCGGTAACTTAGACGGGTCTTAACTCTTAACGACCCTAGGAGCAAGCGAGCTAACTCTTGCCTTTGTTTCGCTCTTTAAATATGAAGGACGGGGTCCCCCCCCGTCTTTTCTTTTAAAACGAAAGCATCTCTTCTCTTCTGGATGCTATATTCTTTTTAAACTGGGGGCGGGGGGGAGGCGATACCACAAAACCTGCTTTTGAATTTCCTACTTTCTTCCTCTTGCTAAATAAAAGATCAACGGGCTGCGGCGCCCTCTTGCGGTAGCATAAGCGTCATAACACTCCGCTTCTCATGGAAACTGAGTGCTGCTGGCTGTAAGGAATAGCTGGATCTGCGAGCGCCGGTCAACCGTCTTTCCATCCTGAGAATGGTGAAGGGCGATCGTAGCACAGGCCCAGTGGCATAGCGTGGGTTGTCAGCACCCGGGGCAAGGCAAGTAATTTGCGCCCCCTAACCCGTGGATTTGCGCCCCCTAACCCGTGGATTTGCGCCCCTTAACCCTAACCCCCAGATGTTGCGCCCGGTGCGGCCGGCCCCCCCTGCACCCCCCACACTACGCCACTGCACAGGCCGGCGGTGCAGCTCCGAGGAGCTGAAGCCCAGAGGGGACACACATATGCGTACCTAATCATTTCCCACCTTCATTCTTCTTTCTACCCTGGAGCACGCGAATTAGAAATAGGAGTGACCGGCTTCTGTTAGTGGCCATTTCTGGCAGTAATCTCAGAGGGAAGGACTTGTAAGAGTATGTGTTTTCTGGGTGGGAACGTCACAAACTTCCTTTTACAGGTGAAACTCGGAAAATTAGAATATCGTGGAAAAGTTCATTTATTTCAGTAATTCAACTTAAAAGGTGAAACTAATATGAGATAGACTCATGACATGCAAAGCGAGATATGTCAAGCCTTTATTTATTATAATTGTGATGATCATGGCATACAGCTGATGAAAACCCCAAATTAACAATCTCAGAAAATTAGAATATTAAATGAAATCAGCAAAACAAGGATTGCAAATAGAGCAATATTGGACCTCTGAGAAGTAGAAGCATGCATATGTACTCAGTACTTGGTTTGGGCCCCTTTTGCATCAATTACTGCCTCAATGCGGCGTGGCATGGATGCTATCAGCCTGTGGCACTGCTGAGGTGTTATGGAAGACCAGGATGCTTCAACAGTAGCCTTCAGTTCTTCTTCATTGCTCGGTCTCATGTCTCTCATCTTTCTCTTGGCAATGCCCCATAGATTCTCTATGGGGTTCAGGTCAGGCGGGTTTGCTGGCCAATCAAGCACAGTAATCTCATGGGCATTGATCCAGGTTTTGGTACTTTTGGCAGTGTGGGCAGGTGCCAAAGTCCTGCTGGAAAATGAAGTCAGCATCCCCATGAAGCTCGTCTGTGGAAGGAAGCATGAAGCGCTCCAAAATCTCCCGGTAGACGGCTGTGTTGACCCTGGACTTAATGAAGCACAGTGGACCAACACCAGCTGATGACATGGCTCCCCAAATCTCTTTTCTGATGAGAGTAGCTTTTGCATCTCATTTGGAAACCAAGGACCCAGAGTCTGGAGGAAGAATGGGGAGGCACACAATGCCAGATGCTTGAAGTCCAGTGTGAAGTTTCCACGGTCTATGTTGATTTGGGGAGCCATGTCATCAGCTGGTGTTGGTCCACCGTACCTGCCTTCTAGCTTACCACCTGCCCACAGGGTGGCGCTGCATGGCAGCTTCCTCTTCTTCCTTAGCCTCAGGGTTGCCCTCGCATTCTCAGGCATGGCGAGGAAAGTTGCATGAAGGGTCACCGGTCAGCTCAGCTACTGGGAACTGGGGTGAACTCCTGACCAGTGTGGTTTTTAGAGTGATCCAAATGCCATGTGGACTGACAAATCCTCAGAAGCTTGACAGAATTTAGGTAAATTACCGGTAACAAGGGCAGCCTTATCATGAAACATGTGACAAAGTCACGTTGGACATCAGCACCTGGAACATGTGTTATTTTCCTGCAACATGTGCCATGTTGCCCCAGTACATCCTGCTGCACACATGCAGCTTAACAAAACAGAGTTCTTGTCAACCACAGAAGAATTTTTACATCAGGTGTAACTGAAACATACAAGGACACTCTTACAAGAAAATGTTCCACGCTTCGGGTGATGATGGTAGAACACAGATGTTCATACATTTCAAGACAATGGATTCTATCCAATGATCATTCTACCCAGAGTAGACCTGTTGAAATGGATAGGCATGGCTAACTTAAGTCTATTAATTTCAATGGGTATACCACATTCAATGGGTATAACTCACGTTTCTTTCTCTTCCATTCCAAACTCTAGAATGAGAAATTAAGCCTTTGACCCTGCTCTGTAGTCATCACAGCAAGGAAGCAACACATCTTCAGAGAAAACCTGAGTGCTGACTTGAAATAATTAAACCTAATGGAAACTACTCCATTGATGGAACATCTCAGGTAAGCAAAAACTAATTCCATTGCATATTAAACTGTCACATAATAAAGAGGTCTTCTGGATTCGTTGATAGCTTCAAACCACCACTATATAACTACAGTTCTTTCCTTCCACCATTCACATTATCATATGCGTGTTTATTTGGAAGTAATGTTACACTGTGGCTGGTAATGATTACTCTCTAGTAAGTGTGCCTAGGAATGCAACTTTAGTTGCTGATCTATACCTGGAAAACCCTCTGCTCTGTTGAGGGAGAGGGGCCATGGTTTATTTATTTACTATGTCTGATCTCCCCCTTTCTAAACCCATATTTGAGGTACTAACATCTAAGATTTTGGGGGTACTTTACATCTAAGATTTAAAGGATTACTTAGAATCATAGAATTGGAAAGGACCCTGAGGATCATCTAGTCCAGCCCTCTACAATGCAGGAATATGTAGCTGGATCAAACCTGCAACCTTGGCATTATCAGCAACATGCTCTAACCAACTGAGCTGGTAAACCGGTTTCTTCTTGATTATCCATCACAGAAAATAATTCAGTCAACTTCAGGATAAGGTCTCCATAGGTCATTAGCAAAGGAAAGATTTACTACTTCTAACAGAAACATGATGTATATGTTTGGTGCAAAGCTCTTAGTTATTTAGGATAAGAGGAAAAAATATATAAGGAATTGTCCCAGTCACTACCACCCCATCGAAATTATTATCAGGTTGCCTTTGGTATCAGCAAGTACCTGTTGTAAACCCCTGTAATATAAAATAAGATGCACTGTGGATTAATGAATCTTATGAAATATATTTGTTGCCTGCTTCAGATGTAGCCCTGATAATTCAAACTGAACTCTGTTTACAAAATTATGGTACTCTTGATTGTCCCAGTGCCATCAGTGTGAAAGGCTAAACTCAGGTCCATAGCCAGATTATTTATGGTGAGGCCCAAGCAAACACTGTAAGGTGAGAAGTGTTATAGGTCTGTGTGGAACAGTAAGCACTTTGATATGTTTAATGGTGTATGCTCTATTAAATCATTTTAATAACATTTACATTTTAATAAAATGTAAAAAATGCCAACTGTTTGTCAGTCAGCCTATTACCTTTAGCACTACATAACTTCAGAGAACTGGGAGTAGCTTTATTTCTTCCTAACTGAGCAATTGCAGATGTCCCTTTATTTCTCTTTAAGAAGAGATCAGGGCTTGTAATGGATATAATGGAAAACCATGGCTTCCTGCAACAAAAAATGAACTGCCGTGAGCCTTAGACTCACAGGTTTCCCTTCTCCACTCCTCCTCTTTTGGTTCAGTGAGTAGGAGATGAAAAACTTTTATTTTTAATTTAAGTTAGCCACGGTTCTTTATGCTGTCTGAACTCAAGGAACAGTGGTTTGTTTAAACTCCTGTGGTGGGTAAAAGAAGTAGGAAGTGAACATGTTTTCAGGATACAACTCTTGAGATGAATATACATTCCTCTTTACAAAAGCCTTTCATCTGAACAGGACAACAGCTCCCACAAGCTTTTCTTCTTCCCTCCCTGAATTCAAAACCTGCTCTTCATGAAATGTCAAGAACCATCTCGGAATCCAATGCACAAAGCAGGCACAATTAGAGTAGTGATGCTTTTGAATACCAGCTACTGGAAACCAGAGAAGGGGAGAGTGCTCTTGAACTCAAATCCGGCTTGTGGGTTTCCTACAAGCATTTGGTTACCCACTGTGAGAACAGGATGCTGGACCAGATGGGCCATTGACCTGATCCTGCATGCTCTTCTTATGGTGTAGTGGTTAAGAGCAGTGGACTCGTAATCTGGTGAACCGGGTTCGCTTCCCCGCTCCTCCACATGCAGCTGCTGGGTGACCTTGGGCCAGTCACACTTCTTTGAAGTCTCTCAGCCCCACCTACCTCACAGAGTGTTTGTTGTGGGGGAGGAAGGGAAAGGAGAATACTAGCCGCTTTGAGACTCCTTCAGGTAGTTATAAAGCGGAATATCAAATCCAAACTCCTCTTCTTCTTCTTTGAATGGAATCATGCCCCAAATCTACTCCTACTTCCCCCTGCACAGCTTCTACTACAGGGTTGCCAAGTACTAATCTGGAGGATGATACTGTCAAATGTATTTAATCACCAAATGAAGCTGCAGCTGCCCTGACTCCCAACTTTTTATTCCATCATTCCAGTCATTGCCTATTGCTCCAGCCAGCAGGACAGGTTAAACTAGATATGGTGTTTGCCTTTGGACACTGAGTGACAGAGGGAGCGGCAAAATAAGGAGAATGAAACCCACAGAATGATTAGTTGCATTGGGGGTTTGTGTGTGTGTGTGTGTGTGTGTGTGTAAAACATTCTGTAATGCTCAAAGCATTCAGACCCGACCCTGTCTGATGGTAGTAGACAAGGCTGTCATGTAAGCCCAGACTGCCTGCCTGAGGTCAATTTTTTTTGTCTGCTTCATAGCAGTAAAAAGCTGTGTTTTTCAAAAGTAGCACCGAACAGCTGCAACAGGCAGTATTAAAGAGAGAGATTTCACAATGAGATTCCTGAGCATGGTTTACCCAGACTTCAAGAGCAAGCAAAAATGTAATACACATTCAAAGTAAATCTCTGTATGATCTTTGGTGGTTTTTCATCTAACAGCAAATCTCACTTTGTAATATTTCCCTTTGGAATACCTATCCTGATAGATTCCTCTGTCCTCCAGAAATGTGAGCTTCTGACTCATCTTTCCTAGGCATTAACTCTCTGAGGTATGATTCAGGTGGAGAGTGCCATTGTATGGTTTAGTTACTAGGTGGTTCTGGATGTAGTTGTATCTGGGTGGAGTCACGGTTTTCCTATCGCTGTTCTCTTTGTGTTTACAAGAGCCAATAAAGTTCTTGTCCAGCTTCCTCATTAATATGTCCTCCATGCCTTCTGTTACCCTGCATTGTGTAAGCCAGCTCTTCCCTGGGGCTTGGCAATGCTAATGTGAGAAGTAGGCTATGATACTGGCCCCACCAAAATAATCAATTTCATTCATATGTTACCGGAATTGTGGAAACACACATTGATTCTCATGTTTGTGCAGGGAATGTATGTTTTGGCCTAGCTCCAGCAGCAACTCAACAAATAAGCTCCTTTTAGAGCAGGGATGGAGAACCAAATATTATGGGACTCCAACTCCCATGATCCCTGTCCATTGGCCACCCTGGCTGGAGATGATGGGAATTGGAGTCCACCAACTTCCAGAAGGCACATATTCCCCACTCTATCTCTAAAGCTTGTGTTTCTCAGTAATATCTGACTCAGGAGTGGCCATGCATAACTTGGGCCAATGTCCAGATGTTGTAATGGGTTGGAGGAGGGCCTGTTAATTGAGATTGAAGCCTGATCATATGGAGACTCTGTGTGTGAGGGGTTTCTGAGTCTGAGAATTTCAAAATGTGCATGTTCTTGATAGGGTTGCCCTCCCTCTTAAACAACAGGTAGAGTTTGGGGGTGTTCCTGAATTCATCATGGTCACTAGAGGTCCAGGTGTTGTCAGTTGTAAGGAACACTTACATCCAGCTTTGGTTGGTATGTGAACTGCACCGTTTCTTGTTACATCCAGATTGCTAGACTACTATAATGCTCTCTACATGGGGCTGCAATTAAAGATAGTTCAGAGACTTCAAATTGTAGGATGTGAAACACAAGAGCAGTCAAGTACAACATTCCTAGAGTGAACATGTTTACACATGGGGAGGGATGTTTGTCCGGCCAGCAGGTAAACTTCCTGCTTCCTTCTGGGCTGGGACAGACTTCCTATGCATATGACTGGAGGTGGGTGTGGCCTCACCTGTGCAGGTAATGACAAAAGCATAGGGCAGGGCAGCCATCTCTCTCTCTTTCACCACATGCATCGAAGAAACAACATCTACTGAGCCAAAGATGCCCTCTTGGCTTCCAGCCAAGAGAGGACAAAGGGACTGTCTTCTTAAGAGATAGATTCCAAGTGTATGTTACTTCATTCAGCTAAGTCTGCCTTCTGGGATCTGATTGTGAACAGAATGTGAGTAAACTCTTTTTATACTTTTGTAAAAGACTGTGTCGTCTCTTATATTTTATGAGGGAATAAGGGGAAATTACCAGAATAGTTATTATAGAGGCTTTAGCGAGCCTGAGCAAATGCAGCCGCTGCAAATTTAAAAGAAGGGAATGTTACTCTGCTGAAATGGTGGAACTTGTTCACACAAGTTGGATAAGGATATAATCAGACAATATATCCTCTCCTGCATCCCTGAACATTCCCACACAAATGATACAGAATGCAGCCACTAGGATGCTTGTGGTAGCCAAACATTCAGAACATATAACTCCAATTTCTGTGACCTGTTTATTTCCCTGCCTATTTCTTTATGGGCTCAATATGAAGTACTGGTATTGATATTAAAATTACTAAATAGTTTGGGACCAGGTTAACTGAAGGTTATCTGACACTTGCCCCCATGCCAACCTGGCCCAGCCCCAAGAACAGCTTCTGGGGCCCTGCTTGCAGGCCCACTGTCAAGCTCCATCAGACTGGAGACAAGAGACAGGGCCTTTTTACTCGTGGCCCCATATATTTGTAATTATTTTAGAAAAGAAGAACATATGGCTACTGCTTGGTTGGTTTTTAAACATCCTTTCAAACTTGTTTCAAACTGTTTTCTATTAAAAGTGCTGTGGGTTGGGTTTTAAACTGCTGTTGCTTTTAGTTTTGCAATTAGATTCTTTTATTTAAATTTTGTTTTATGATCTTAATTTTCTTATGTAAGTCACATTACGAGGCTTGTCCTGAAAGGCACCACGTAAGTACAGTACTGAAAATAAACGACTAAGGCTGCAATCCTAACCCTACTTACCCTAGGAGCAAGACCCTTACATTCAATAGGACATACATCTGAGCAGACATGGTTAGGATTGTGGTATAAATAACTAAATAAAAGTACCACTCTTGATAATTATGGTTGTAAATAACTGCTTTCATTTCTGACACCTCAAGCTTAAATTTTTATTTTATCACTCTGGCAGTTGTTGCTGTCATCAGTTACAACAGTTTAGTGTGCAATAATTTGACAGCACAGTGAAGGAAAATGTTGTCAAACTTTGACACCTTTCTCCCTCTTAGATTCAAAAACCTTTGATTGCATTTAATGTAGCTATAAATCTTCTGAAATACTTACATGTCTCTTTTATGATGTGGGTAAACTCTGAGGTAGGAGCAGAGTGGCTGATAACCTTCTGGAAAAGACATGTGTTTACGTGAATATTTTCTTTTTCATATTTAACAATGTGGAAACACATTAAAAGGCAGAAATATTTTCTCAAAATGAAGTAATTACTCTCCCCAGCTTATTGATTTTAATGATGGGAAAAAAAACCTATTAACACAAATACACATCTTCAAATATAACAAACCAGGCATAGAAAAGCAAGAAAAAGAAAAGGTGGATTTGGGGGGTGGGGGTGAATTTTTTTTTTGCCTTGGAAAAACCTTACTCAC